AGTTGTTGCAGCGCAACATTGACCGGGTAAACAAGCTGGTTGCAAGTCTGGTGTCAACTGGAGCATTCGTCCAATCACTGTTCACGTGGCAGTACAAGTTTAGAAGCGCTTTTGCTTTCGCAGTAAGCTTTTACTCGTACGTTCGTATGCAATAATATTATGTGATCAAACGGTCTCAAGTACATGTGACGAGAGATATGAATGAGAAGGTTTATATCGCGTATGTTCGTATCAATACAATCAAATTATTAATTTAAGAGTTCAGGCGAATGTCTGGAAACACATTAACTTCTTCTTTTTGGTTGTGCTCTGTTGTGCTGCAAAGGTTCACGCTGTCAAATGTCAGAAAGTGAGGAAAAACACAGCTGCCCAATAGGTAGAGCGCCATGTCAGGGTTGGAATCTTGGCGCGTGTTTTGTGCCTCTTCCCATCCTTAAAAGTTTAAATGGTTGTACCAGCAAAATGTGGGAGGCGAACTTGATTGAATGCGAGGGGCCACTGTACCCACATTGAATTAGCGTCCTGTTTGAAAAGAATAGAAATGCACCTAGTCGCTTGGTTTGAAATCAAAACTTGACGAGGCCAAATAAACCTGTAGATGTAGTAGAGTGAGGCAAATTTCGTGAGAATACTCGTTCACGTCTTTTTAATTGTTTTCTGATTCATTTTTCAGATCTACATCATGTTGTGCCTAAACTTTGACTTCTATATAATACCGCTAACACTTCTGCTTACGTTTCTGAAGCAGTACGTAATGTGTATGTTACTTGCTGAAAAGAATGTAAATCCAGAAGAACAGGTTAGCTGTTTGCTTTGTATTTCTCATCCTACAAGTTGTTTGATTAATTGATTAACGGGTGCTGGAGTGTATGCCACAGTTTGCATGATAGAGGACCACTTGCACTGATCATCGAAATAGCCACTTGGAGATTTGCTGATTGGGGAGGAGAAAATGAAAAGAGTTGACCACAATTCAATTGATGTCATTATCACCACTAGCACGTGAACTGGCCACTATATAATTGACTATACAAGTGTTTGTTTCATCCAAATTATAAGATGTCCTCTTTACCAGCACTGAAGGAGCTAGACAAGTGGTTGCTTGTCATTTTGACAGATGATCACAGCCATCATCCTTCAGTCAGGCTGTCAGGAAACCATTGTTGTAAAATCTGATGATCAATTTCAAAGTTTTATTACTGTTGACAGGAGGGTGCTCCGGTAGACGAGGAAGAAGACGACGACGAGGAAGAGGAAGAGAAAGGAAAGAAAGGGGTGAGCCGGCCCAATCAACCATTGTTTCTTAATTAACTCAATGCTCGATCTTTTAGAGTGGCAAAGAATGCAATAACTTGTGAGGCTTTTTTTAGGATAAGGGCAAAAGTTTCAAGGAGAAGATTGCGGCACTTACTTCCATCTGTCAAACTGTGCAGAATGCTTTAGATATGGTGGCCTCCAATGGAGAACGAGTTAAGAAGTAAGGAGAAAAAGTGATTTAAGTGCATATGGCCGTTCATGTGTTTTCTTACGATAATCAAAGTCTGATCAAGCGACAGAGTATCTTTTGTACATCCCAATCTTTCTTTTTTTCCTTCTCGATAATTGTTTACGATGATTGAGAGGTGTAAACTTATTCCTTCGGTATCTATTCTGCAATTTTCACAAACGTCGAGTGAGAGTTTTAACCATTTGTTTCCCTGCAGCACATTTAACTGGACTGTGCCTTTTTGTTCGTACTTGATGTGCATTATCTTCACACTGGGAACTATCGTACTTTACCTTGTTCCCCTCAAGTTCTTGCTTCTTGCCTGGGGTAAGCAGTTGTCTTAACAACCTTCATTCACTTCAGTGTTTCAATACGAATTTAAATATTTGACAAAGTGTTAAAAATTGTCAAAGGTTTCTTTATGATTTCAAGAAGTTTGGAAACGTTCTGTTATCTCTAGAATTTGTTTTATGGCAGGAATGCTTGTATTGTGGTAGTTTTCAGTGATTTTTGTTTCCTAACTAGAGGTTTAACTCCAAGTTCGATGACAATTGGTATAAACGTACCAAAAGAGGGGAAATCAGAGTCATGATGTGAATTGCCGTCATCATACAGTGGTTACTAGCTATACGAAGTCTTACTGTACTGATACATGTACCTACACTTGATATGAGAAATTAAGGGGCCATTTTTGGAGGGTAGTTGGTATGTTACTTGTATCTGAAGAGTCACCGTTTAACAAGTGTGGGAAGATTTACGTCTTCGGTTTGACGAAGAATATAGTTTTTTTTTTCATCATGATCATCGTTTTTTCTTCCCAAGAATCATTTTCATAATGGTACACGTAATTGAACTGAGTGGAGTACAATTTGGTCTGAAATTACATGTATGATTTCAGACCAAACTTGCGCGACACGAAGGTTAATTACCACTTAATAACATCTAGTTTGAAATCGCAAATTCAGTCGCTCAGTTACAGGGTTATTTAGTCTGTTCAAATGTCATGTTGATCGAGTATTGAGCTGGTTTGTAGAAAATTGCGTAAGTTTTTTTTTCATATTCCTGTAATTTGATTGGTTTCTTTAAACAAGGAATTGGTGGTTATATTTTAGTAAAGCTTCCTCATTAGCTGGGAAAAAGATGCGATTAAGAGCAAAAAGTTGAAGTCGTGCCGGAAAGTTAAAGTCGTGCTGGGAAAAAAGTGAAGTGTTGAAAAACAAAGTTGAGGTGGTAAAAAAAAGTTGATGAGAAATATAAGATGGCACCATCTGGGCTCCATGGCCATGCGCTGTCATGAAAACAAATATTACTCGGCGAAATGCATAACAACAGCGTGTACACGTGACGCGTACTATCCAATTACCAGCATGACGCCAACACCGTCCTTTAAGTGCTCAAATCGGGCTGGTGATAACCAACCAACCAACGTACGAGAATTTTGTAGTAGTTTTGATTAATCGTAGGTAATCACTTATTGGGTATGTGTCTCTTTTCTTCCTCAGGAATAAACAAGTTCACGAAGAAGATCCGCAAACCAAATGCTGTTGATAACAACGAGCTTGCGGACTTTTTGTCCCGTATTCCTTCCGATATAGAAATTGTAAGTTTATTGATCATGCTCACCAATTTTCTGATTCCCAGACGCAACAACTTGTGAGTACGCCACTTATCTGCCTACTGTAGCAATAAAAACTGAATCATCGATACCTTTTTAGTGGTGGCCACGTTGAATTTCATTACGCGGTCAGCTGTGTTGAGGTAGGAAACCGCTCGTGTTGTTGTCAAGAAATTTCAGTTTCAGACTGCACAGTTTCACGTTTAAAATGGTCCAACAAATAACCTCTCAGGTCCTTACCATGCTGTATGTTTGTCATATTCTGATGGAGGCATCTATAGCAACGTTCATACAGACCGAAGGCTAGTCCCCAGTTAACAGATATTGAACTCCCAGCTCATTCACGTTACATCCATGTTACACACCGAATAAAAATTGAACATAAATCTTTAAAATGAATACTTTTTGGTGGGGTAGCCAAACATGGAAAATCTACAAGGGTGGGGGGGAAGAGATTATTTCCAAATTTGGCCTGGAAATGTGTTCTTTAACGTTAAGTTTCTTTGTTCGGTGTAAGATCCAGTTTGTTGACGAGTTATTTTCCTTTTGTCAACAGAAAGAGCAAAAGGTACTGAAAACAGACCCATCTCTCAGGTTGAAGAGGATCGATGGTTAGAGGACACTGTGTGCTTCAGTGTGTATCTGGCAATGAACTCGATCAGTTGTTCGACTGCTGTAGAGTGCGGTCCCTGTACTACCAGCTGAAAGCTATGGGCTATTCTACATCGTCGTCAAGATGAGAATTTACAAACAATTTGAACATTTCCAGTAACGAATTTTGCGAATTTAGCTCTATTTATTAAATTGTACAGTATTTATTAGGTCTTGAGAAAAGAGAGAAATAACTGGAGAGCGAAAAGTAAGTTAAATGGCGGCACCACAATCGCTGAATTATATTGGTTGGGTAGGGAAGTAGTGTGCTGCCCTTAAAATATTTATATTGGGTTTGGAATTACAGATTGAAATAATTATAATGGTTTAAGGGAAAACTTCTGTTCTTGCACTTCACGATTTTTAAACTTGTGCACGTTTCTTTTTTTCGCTTTGCTTTGCCAATCAACTTAGTTGGGAAAATAGAGCTTGTTTGAATTCATTTAATTTCAAGCATGAAGTTGAGATGGTAAACCATGATAACAATTTGGTTTCTAGACACTGTAGCCGACTACGGGTGTCGTCAGCCTTGTGCTTTTGTTTCTTTTCAAATGATACAATTAATTAATTAATTACAGAACGATCTTGTGTCATTAAACTTTTTCATTTGTCAAATCCAGCGTCTTATGTTGATTACACGGTATGGGGTTAAGTTGAAAAAGAGGACTCTCCCTCATTCGCACACATAAAGCAGAACTCGACGTAACAGTACCATTCTCGCCCTTTTTCCATGTTTTGATTACGGAAAGAGAGGCAAGGAAGGGCCTTAAGTGCGTTGTTTAGTGGTAAAATTTTGTTAAGTGAAGTGAAGTGAAGCTCTCAGTTGCATTAAACCAATTTGTATGCAAGGGCTTTGTCTGCGAGTGACCGTTCTTTGATCCAGCATGCCTGTAGGTCTAATAACCGTCTCCCCTTTCAGACGGGACACTATTTCGATACTTTTCTTACTGATGTTGCCGACTGAAATCATAGACTAGAGCAGCATAGTTAGCATCAGTTTACCAGAGTTAACGAATACTGATGCAACGCTAGCACAAGATGAAATAATACATGACGGGAGGAAAAATGTTTATATGCGACAATCTGGAGCGAATGGCCTTATCCAGGATTCGGTACCAGAGAAGCCCACTGTAAAAAAATTATGGGATGGTTTCTAGTCGGGCGATATTGTTTACCGATATTGTTTACTGTTTACTTTACCGCCGTTAAAAGCTACATTACCCACCTGAAAGATCTTACAGCTAAAAATTTTTTCATGGTTGGTTTATTATATTTCAACGCACTACCGACTTCCATCTTTAAGGAATACACAAGAGAGGCTGCGAGCACTTTAGCGAACGAAATAGATTTTGAATCAGAAACCAGAAAAATGGTTGTTATTTTCCTCATTTTTTTGTTACAGTTGTATTTCGAAAATGAAAGGTATGGTTCATGTCCTCCATTATCTTCACATGCGCATGAAGGCATGCGCATGAAGACATGCACATGAAGACATGCACATGTGGGACTGATGGCAATCTTGGTTTCGGGTATTTTAGTAATTAAAAGACTAAGATGCTAAGTTCTCGTGGCTGGAAGAACTATTCAGCGCAATAAATCTAATTTTGTTATCGTGAAAGGGCTCGCACAAACTGAGCTGGTGGTTTATTGGTAAGGATAATGACTCTAGGCTGGTTCGGTATAGTTATTCGTCTCAATCTTCTGGCGTCGTAGTAGGGGCAGCCCCAGACTGTGAACCTTCTTTTCCACTGGCTTTCTTTGTTCCCGACACAATGTCATCAATCCGCAACAAGAGCATGGCCGTCTACACAAAGGAGATCAAACGAGTCAGTCACAGTCTAAATATCTGGTAGCATCCTTGTTCTTAAATAGAATTTGTTTGTTTGTTTGTTTGTTTGTTTTTGACTGGGCTACGGGTTAAAATCTTACAATGAGCTCAGTATCAAGTACCTCGATGGCGGTCTTGAACGTTTGTGCTTTAACAGAATAAGTGTCCCAGACGCCGAGAGTATTCATGTCCGTGATTTCACCAGTCTCGCCATTGACACCCCAGGTTGTGTTACCATCCACCGCGTGCTTCGCCTGTAAAATATGATCCAATTAATTTTGTTTTAAAGGGGACCTTGTATCTTTGATAAGCCATTATCAGATTATGACGAGTCCCGCATACATACGGTTAGGATCCCATTGACGTGAGTGAAAAAGAAAGATTTTAATCTAAAGCTCGGTAATGAGGTGTTCTGTCGAGTCACAAGCGTAAGACAAATGAAAAAACTGTCGGTCAAGTTTTACTAAGCTTACCCTGAGTGCAGTGAGAGTTCTGATGGTGTTAGCTCCACAGTTCTGGATCAAAGTACGTGGAATCACTTCCAGAGCTTTGGCAACGGCTTTGTACGGCCACTGTTGAACGCCTGCCACCGACTTAGCTTTCTCTGTTAACACCTGTGGCATGAGTGAAGAGTACACAACTTTGGTCTCTTGCGTCAGTAATACCGAGTGAATAATTTTTCTTCTAGCTGGGAAGATTAAATACAAACCGTGTGGCATGAAAATTTTACGGTTGAAGGCGACCGACATTTTCTCTGGAAATTATTTTTCTGCGATTTTCTACCCAGGAACAGAAAATTAATAGCAAGGGAAAGAAATTTGTCGCAGTTTTTAACGGAGTGGAGCTAATTGGTGGATGATTCGTTCGTGAATATTTGGAACGAGTCTCAAAGCAAAGAATACGAATTGACAATGGCTCCCGTGCAAGGTTTTTCATTTGACTTAAAATAGCAAATTTTTACGGCCCTTCTGTTTTTTGTCGGTATTCTTTTTTTTTGTGAAGAACAGGATGGCGACAATCCGGAAAACTGTTAAATTTAAAAGCTGCAACTTTTTTTTCACGGTCTGTACAATCTATCATCAGCACCTTATTCGCCTTCAAAGTATTCCAATCCTTAAAAGAGAAACTTATCCCAGATGAGACAATTCTACCTCCACCACTGCTTACTATAAAACTGGTGAGAGCACGTTTCGGGTTGGAACGACCGAATGAATGTAGATGAAACTTTCTTTCAATGCGGGAAAAAATTGACCCTCCGGCCGACATTTGCAATCTCGCCCGGCCCAGTACTCTGATGAGGTCATGTAACTCTGTAGAATTTCACAGCACAGCAAGCAGTAGCTTTTCATATTTTATATTTAGTAGTAGAAACAAGAATTGAATTATTTCTAGATACCCGCTTACCCAATAAATCTTCACCCGTCATGATTCACATGTATAGAAAGTGAATAAGTATTCATGCCTAAGATGTGTACTGAGGCAAGGTTCTGTAGATGTACTCACATGGGCAAGAGCCATCTCGGCAGCGCCACCACCTGGCACTAGTCTGGGGTCCAACATGACGTTCCGGGCTACATTCATGGCATCATGAAGGTTACGTTCAACCTAAACACATCATGTTTATCACCATTAGATCATTGTCAGTACTGCTACGAAACCACTTTAGATCAAAGCTATGCTAATTATACCTCATTTAAGATGTCTTTACTGGCCCCTCTTAGCAAGATTGTGCAAGCCTTGGGATTCTTGCATTCAGTCACGAAACAGAAATACCTGCCATCAAAAGTAAGTATCTTAAACAAAGGAAGCAATATCGCTTTCACTGTCAGACAAGTTGATACCAAAGAGGGTATAGTAACCCTCATCCCTCCATTGACTGGAGCTTATTCCAACAAGCATGACTTCGTCAAGTGTAAATGTGGATGCCAAATAACTTAATAGAATATTCTAGTGGACTTAGAGTACGACAACCCTGTATTTAATCCACACTGTAAAAGTTTGCAGACACAACCAAATTTCTTTCAACTGGAAATCATATTTTCTAATGTGTTTTACATTAGTAATATTAGATACGATGAATATATGAAGTTCATATATTTTGAACTGCGGTTATAGATACGTATGATTCACAATCCTCGCAGTAGAGAGCGCTATTTATGCAATAGCGAAAATCAGACCTGAAAAAAATCAGGCCTGTACGGGATTCGAACCACTGACCTTTGCAATACTAGTGCAGCGCTCTAGTATCGCAGAGGTCAGTGTAATAGCTCATTAGTAATATTCATGGTTCTAGGTGTTTTATCTGATGAATGTGGTAATCAGAATCTTAAGTCAAAACTTACTCATCTCCAAACTTTTTAATTTCAAATAACCCAGCCCCAGTCCCCACATCTTCTTCTTTCAATTCTTCTGTTCTGTTCACGATAGTTGCACCACATGCGCGGGCAATACGATTGTTGTCTGTTTTCCTTACACGGCGTATTGCTGTTATACCGTTCTTCACAAGGAAATGCTGAGCAAGATCTAAACAATAACAGGACAAATGAATAGGAATTGTATTTTGGGTAAGCACATGGAGAACGTAACTGACAAAGATTTTTTCGAAAAACTTATTCATGTAGTTACAGAAGCACAAGATTTGAGTCCTTCATTGCGTTCAGTGACTTATTGTCAATAGCATATTTGGACATGCAAAATCCAGAGCATGACTACTTAACCTGTTCACTCTCATGACTGACCAAGACAGAATTTCCCCTTAAAATATCAATACAATATCAAACAGAGGAGTGTTGAGAAGAAAGAAAATATCAATCAAGGGATTATTAGTTGATCCAAAACCAAACTCTACAAACTACAGTAACAATCATTTCAAGAATTGTATGGCAGACAGTACAAACATCTTGAGAGTATGAAGATTCTGTCAGGTGAACAGAGATAATTTCATTTAGTATTCAGAGAGCGGCTTTGTATCTCACCTGATACTCCTTTTTCCGTGAACACAACATCAGGTTTTAAAGCTATAACCTCACTACAGACTTTTTGGATATACTCCTCTTCTAGCTGAAGAATACGACTGAAAATAGAAATAAGTATCCTGGAAATGAATTTTTTTTTTATGGACTGTTGGATGTCAGTGGAGGAAAACAGTGCGTTGGGTGGATTTGAAAGAAAAGTCACTTAACTTACTTGAAGTCTGCTTCCTGGGATATTTCTAAGCTAGTCTGTATAAGGCAATCAATTTAACCAGAATAAATTAACACATTTAGCAAGACAAACATTCATTATTAACGGTACGAAACACTAGAACTGTTACTTCAAGTGATAATACTCAGTATTTAATTCAAATGTTCCTTCTACTATAAAAACTAAAAATATTTCAGGAACACAATTCAAGGACTTTCGAGGACTTTTTAGGTCATTTTTAAGGACTGACCTTGGCTCTCAAATTCGAGGACCTTTTGCATTAAATAGGAGCTAATAGAAATATAAAACATTGCTCTTTATCACGTGTCAAATATCACAATCGAACGCGGGAATTGAAAGAAAAACTCGTTTTCGCGATTTGTGCTAGAAACTCACACTTTCAACACCAAAAACAAATGAAAACTTCGACTTTGATTCATCTGCACTTATTTTCAAGGACTTTTCAGAAATTGTCAAGGACCTCCGACTAAATTCAAGGGTTTTCAAGTCCTTGAAAACAAAAAATTAAATTCAAGGGCTTTCAAGGACTTTCAAGGAACATGGGAACCCTGCAAACAATGTCCATTGTATCCTTCCCATTCTCCACAACCATAAAATTATAGTATAACAGAGAAGTGAACAGCACTAAAACACAATTAAGCCAAGACGAACATGCAGTTTTCTGTTGTGCCATATCATATCCAGCCAAATCTGTAAGGGCATTCTTTCATAAGACAAAGACATATGTATTAAAACAGGAGGGCAACCATACTTGACTCTCTCCTTTCTTGTACTCCAGAGAACAATCCAAAAGAACTATCCTAGGATTTTCTATTCTCCTGAAAGTTTAAGGTAAATTTTTTTTAATGCAACACATAAACCACTGATCATTTCAGATTTGTACTTTTTGAATTACTTCAAGTGTCCAAAAAAGAAGCCTTCACCTTTTCATTCTCGGATGAGTAACATCTTTGTTAACCATGACACCAGATAAAACACATGAATCTTCAAGTTCACCTCCTGGGATCTACAGAAATATATGCATTATACATGTGTGTCATCTACAGTATAGCTGAGATAATTATTTACAATGTAGGTCTTGATCAGAGTTAGTTGCAAATAGCAGCAACTACTTTTAGCCTGTGACAAATGGTTATTTCTAATGACTTTAAGATAAGCACAGAAGTTCAGGGACCCTTTTTCGATTTTTCATTGCCACCTTTACTGTACATAACTTAAACATTTACAAAATATGATGTGCTGGCTTCAACATATAATTTGGTAGATGATATTTACTATAAAATTAAACCATGGGTATCACCTAAATGAACAAATACTTACAGTCATTTAAGAAAGAGAACTTCAGAGTGTTATTTCACCAAAGAATTCTTCATCTACATATTGAGGGCCTCAGCTCTTTTTCATTGACACGTGGTGAATATTCTTATATTCTCAGTAGTTCACACTGGTTTGTCTATTTCAGAGTGAAAACCCTGGAACTCAACATTCATGTAATGTATACCTTTTCAACTTTGGCATAATTTTTTATGTCTATCTCTTTTGTGTCTCCTTGATCTCTTGCAACAGTCTGTACTGCATCTAAAGCTATATTACAGGCCAAATCTCCCCTACAAAGAGTGTGAACAAAGTTAAGCTAGCATGGGACTGAACACGAAGCATATAAATTCATGCATACTACAGTATTGCCTGAAACAAATGGAATTTGTCTCCAGGTTTTTGAGGTAGAAATGTTATAGTGTTGCACATGATTTTCCTATATTTGGTGTTGAGACAGAAGCATAGCCTAAATTGTAAATTTTCAAGCTGCGGTTTATTGTTCACTCAGTGCTGGGGTAGTACTGTGTTATGCCTTGCAGTTCATACATATCAATGTCTCAAATGCAAGATGTTATGATAGGTGTACTTGCAAGAGTTCAATGACAACATACAAAGTAGTTGGTTTCCACACATCAGACCATGACCAAGTGGTTTCTGTGCTAAAATTGAAAGGTCTGGGAAACTTGACAAATGGAGAAGGGTGTCACCTGAGGTAGATACAGTCTCTGCCTAATGCAATGGTAACTAGGATAAGTTCTGACAACAATCAGCCATCATACATCTTGAGACCCTCAAGTTACCCTTGTGGACCTTAGCAGCACTTCTATTTGTGATTAAAAGTCAGTACAAAAAAGTTATCCGACAACCACAAAAAGTGGGGATTACATACATACAACAAAATCTATAACTCCTTGAGTTTTTATAACATTATCTTTAGGGACATGAATTAATATTTAAGAGGCTGTCCGCATAAGAACCGACCACTTGAATTGCGGCCGATCACAGAATTCCCTCAAATTTTTACTGCGAGATATTTGATCTAATCTATCAGCAAAAATTCTATTTATTTTGTTCGTAAAGCTATTTTATCAAATTTTTGGCGACGAGATATGAGGACAGTCAAAGACAAGGAAAACTGTTTATTTTAGAGTCAATTTTCAGTGTTTCGTTGGAATCTCTAAAAACTTACGCATTATTTTGTTCAAATAGCATAAATCGGAAATGTCATTTTACATCCCATCTGTTGATTCATAGCAGAATATATAAATTCTGACCAAACAATTAAGAATTATGCTCTTTTGAAAATACCACACAAACAGCACTTTCCAAAGTTGAGCAAATGTGCTGTTGTTCTAAGACACCTTTCTCAAAAGCATAACGGGATCTGGAGTCCTCACCACTATCCGTGTTTAGTACTAGGGCTCGTGTGCCGAAAGCAACAAAAACAGTTTTGGCAACTAGTCTTTTCGAGTTACAGGAGCTCAATGGACTTTACTAATTTTCTACGGTCAAAGTGCATGACTTTTAAATTTATGCATATTTGTGTTACTCCATTTCTCGCTCAAAATCAATATTTGAGGCAGTGCCTATTTTCAAAACTAGCACAGTTGTTTTGAGGATGGTGAGGATGTCCATAGGAAGGAAGGTGAGGATGTCCATAAATTCATCCAAACTTGCCCCAAATCTAGCAATTATGAAGGTACAAACGAACATCTTCTGTGTGACATTGCATTTAACTGTCTCATGGGGGCAAGAACATGTTGACAACATTCCATTAAGTTAATCTTGACTGCTGTCTTATGGTATGAAAAAACTAAAATTGCTGTCACTGTCATTCAAAATATGTCATTATGAAGAGAACTCCATATCTTACCAGAGCGTGAGAACATCTCCACGAGAATAGGTTGATTTAGTCATGTGTCACGCTCTTTACATTGAGAATTGATGTCACGGATCCATTTTTGACCACATTGCACACAGTTATTTTAAAGTTGTCGATAGAAATGGTTAGTGTCAGTAGTGATACTTCTTTTTATTTCAGGCAGAAAGCTCATCGGAATGTCCTTGTTTTTAGGAGTTACAGTTAAATACAGTACAAGTATTATTCATTTTTATTGCTGTCTTTTGATTTTGAATATCACCTCCAGGTTTTTTCTTTTTTTTTATCATCTCCTCTGTTCTGGTTTTTGCGTGTGTGTGCATGTGTTTTTTCCCTCAGTGTTTCAATAATTGGGCTAATTTGAAACAAACAAAATAATTGAATTTGCACAAGACTTCCAAAATGTTAACTTTGCAACTGGGATAAGCTTTTTATATTATCTAGAAGATTTGCTTTCAAGAATGGCGGAATTTTGTTCGTTGTCAAGTGTTACAGGTGGAAGTGGCTGAAAGTGTACAGATTTTGTAACTTGAAATAACTGTAACGCTGATATCAGGCGCACATCTATACCCCCAAATTAGTGAAATTTACTTAAGGAGCCATGAAGCAGGATGTTATGACAACAACTTCATCTTGTCGGCTGTTAGCAATGTAGGGAGATGAATTGGTATTGCAGTCATGTGGTTTGACTTTTCTGAACCCCAGTATGGAAAAGATGTCTGTGATAGGATTCTTTGCCCAATGAAGTCATCAATCCGATGATACTCTAACAAGGGACATGATGAAGCTTCTGCCAAAGATATGCGTGCAGCACTCTCAGAACGTCCTGTTAGAGGTACAACTGCCTGCATTTGCTCAATAAACGAAACTAAAAAACACTTTAAGTACAAAGGATAGACGGTTTTAGTAAATGTCACAACTTCAAGTTTGAGAGGGAAGGAATGCGAATATGGAGAGCTTATGGAATCGGGCAGGGAAGGCTGATTCCTTACTAAAATTTAGTCGTCAGGCCTCAAAGTTCCACAAGCTTCGATGTAAATGAAAAATTATTTCCGTTCAAGGAGGTTTGGCTCCATAAGACGATAAAAAATGGTGATGGTGAATGATCTTTTTGCCTGTTCTGACCCAGGATGCAATATGGTGTTCAAGAAATTCAGTGAATTATAAAGTCATCTTAATGTAGGTGAGCACTGCTAAATTCTCCGAAATTCTGATACAGTGTCTGACAAACTCAGAAGAAACTGGGCGGAGAAACTCCTCAATGTTAACAACAAGGAAATCAACATCGCATCAGCAAGAAGTTGCTATTCCCAGCAGTGATATGCAGATTAACTGGGCACTACATAAGCCAAGAAGCTGTGTGTCACTTCTGAAGTTAAAGGAAGATTCCAGGGAGTAGCTGCAGATATGAGAATGCATGTTTGAAAGGAAGGACTGGCTAACGAAGACTCAAGTGCAGGGGTTTTTCTTGAGATTGGCAGCCACAACAAGAAGACAGGGAAGCTGAGAAATTGAGGTGGAGGAAGTTTATGCAGAGGAAGAGGAGCAAGAAAGATGTGAAATGTTGGAAAATGTTGCAGGCCAGCTTGGTCTAAAGCAGCCTATTTGCTTTCACTCATACTGCTTGTGTGACTGCTCATGTGATAAAAAGAAACTTAAAACTTTCAGCGTAGTCATGCTTAAGGAGAAGCTTAAAGTTTTTGAGATTCCGTATGGTTGCCGAGATAGGAAAAAAGATCTGTTAACTAAAACTTTCCACAATCTTAGAGGGATGTGACTTAAACTGATAGGAAAAGGTCTAAACTTTTTAATACTGAAAAAACGTAGAACATGATTTGACCTGTTTTGGTAAGGACTGGTTTGGTGCACAACAGGTTCCAAGTACTTTTTTCAGAACATATCGAGGAAGAGAGCTTTACTTTTCTGGTAATAGCGAGACTAGTTGATAAAACAAAGAAACTATAGAAATAAGAGGAAAATGGCAAAAACATAGAAGCGGAGCTGCAAATTCTTCTGCCGACTCATCAATTAATATTTTGAAATCCTACACGAGTCATGCTATGTAAATAAATCTCTCCAA